ATTGTGTTCTACACTTTCTCTTGGTTTTATTTTCTTCCCTTGTTCTACACTATTATGAATATGTCCTATGATCGCGTCGGGGAAATCAATCATCACTGAATACGCATTTAAACTTCAAATTATCTTTAATTTTTTAAAAAATTTCTGTGTATAACAAAAGTAATTTATTGGTTTGTATTCAAGGATCGATAGTGACGAAACGCGGTTATCCCCAGATTTTGTGCATCTGCTAAAGGAAGATAATTTCCCCTTGAAAAATCAATTCTTCTTTGACATATAAACAATAGTTTAATTTTGATTTTGACATTTTGTTTCTATCGTAAATAGTTTTAAAATGTACTTCATTCGTATAAGTTTATATTTATCATACATATGTTCAGGTAAACTTTCATAGCATTTTTAATGGTTACTGTTCAGCTCTATCTGACACTTACTTTTCACACTTCTAAATTAGCTGAACTGCATATATATATGTGTGTGTGCGTGTGTTTCTGTGCATTTCATTTAATTATTAGTCCAAAAGGTTTATTAATATCGAAGCGCAATATTACGCTGTATCATTTTAATGCATTGTTACACTTTTCATTCGTCTGTTGCCATTCGGGAAAACGTAAGGTATTATTCTTTCATACTTAATTTGTCTGTTATTAATTAGAAAGTTAAACTATTTAAAAGTAATAGAAATTAAGAATATTATTATTATTATTTTAATCTGATTGATTTAAATAAAAATGAAATTAATTCATGATATATCTAATTAAAAACATTAGATATTTTTATAGAATTACATTAAATATTTTTTTCGCGTTTTAAATTTTCAGAAGATACATAATGTTGTCATATTAGTCTAATTAAGTGTTCATGTAATATCCTATAAAATGTTTCGCTGTTCCACCTGGGCCATCTCTGTGGATAATCTCTATTGATTACCATATTAAGCTTTAAAAGAGTTTTTTTGGGCGATTGTTAAAATCTGAACACTTTCAGATTTACGTTTTTTTTTTATTAATTGTTGTTATTTAAGTTATAAGATATTTATCCCACCTTCTTAGCATGCCTTCGTAGTGTAGTGGTCAGCACGCTTGGCGCGTATTCGAGAAGTCCATGTTTCGAGTCCCGGCAATGGCATTGCTCATTTTTACGTCTCTCCTACTTTCAAAAAATATCTAATGTCTCTACTATGGCACCCGAATTAAAAAAAATGATGGATGATGCTTCTTGGACCAGACCACCAGGACCAGAACTTGGTGATTGGGTCCCATAAACCCCAGTCGCCCTTTAAAAGTGGTAGTATATAAGGTATTTCTCCCGCCTTCTTAGCAAGCCTTAGTATAGTGATCAGCACGCTCGGCGCGTATTCGAGACGTCCGTGGTTCCAGACCCGCCGAGGGCATTGCTCATTTTTCATCTTTCCTGCTTCGAAATAACCTAATGTGTCTACAAATTTTATTTTTATAACTTTATATACTTATACGTGTAGAATTTTGGATTTATGTGCCAAAGGTATATATTTGTGAAAGGCCATGGGATTGGAAGTGAATTAGGGCGACATTCAGAAACTGAAGGAGGAAGAAGATTGCCAAGAAATGACCACGGATGATTGATGGATCTGCATCCAGAGCAGCTGAAAGTGTTTATAGAGATCTCCTCTTAGGAAGAAAAAGAATTATGTAAAATGTGAGAAAGATTGCATAATGCTGTAGAAAATCCCACTTGAGTATGGCTGTAACAGTGCGAGTGAGGAATCTGTGCCACATTTCTGCGAAATGAGAGGCAAGAGCAACTGTCATTGGAGAGATGTGTCGTTAAGGTCGCACAAAAAGAAAGTGCTTGATGAGACAATGGATAGTAGTAGTGATTTCAATAGTTAGCCATAATTGTTTTTTAAGATAAAATACAGATTTATTTCTTTACGCATTTTATTTGTAATTTATGATAACCGTTTCTGTATGATTATTGTTGAGTTGTGGAAAGACCATCTGAGTTTCCATTGTTTCTTGTGGGAAAATTCGCTTTGATGTGCAAGTGCTTTGGATTACGGGCATGTCTCTAGAAAGGATTATTCTCGGGAACTTAGGTACCACTGTACTTTACTTAAGGACGCTGAACGTTATTTGTCAGCTAAACCAAACCGCATTTAAACATGTCACGCGAATATCGTATTTAACATAACTTTCAATGTTATCCGTGGTAAATCTTGGATCGTATTACCTGCGGATATGAGAGACCTACTGTATTTTATTGCATTGGCATTTTTATGGTAATGTAATTAATTACTACTTTTTAAGCTACACACTTTTTAATGTAGCATATCATCACAAAAAAACATATCATTACAATTCAGAGAGATCATTTGGATAATTTAACTAGACCAAGTCATTTCAAAGTTGCAGGAAGGTCTCACAACATCGGTCATATCTAAACACATTTAACATCCTGTTTGTGGGTAAACGTTTATAGTAGCTATAATTGATACTAACAGAAAGTTCAAGAGCTTATTTGTATCTGACTTTATATCGATACATATTAGTCCAATAATTGTGCTAGTTTATCAATTAAATTAATCCATATTTATGTATTTCTTTATCAGTTCATCGTTTTTATCATTTATATTCAATTCAAATGATCATTGTTATCCGAAGTGAAATGCATCAGGTCAGATCTAGAATAAGAATTCGGATTTCCGAGTAAATTCTAATTAGATGTCTGCGATCCGACAGAAAAGCAACAGCAAATTGCATTAAGATTTCTGTTATTCAGTGTTTTCATGATAGGATCTGCGATCAGTCCTCATGGATTAGGAAGCTGATCTCAGGTTAATAACACATTAGTTGATCTTCTATTCTACGTCGGCTTACCCAGTGCGAATTTGAGATCCTGTCTGGGGCTGAGAATGTAGGCGAAAATAACAGGTGTAGTTATTATAGTAACAGGTGTAGTTATTATAGTACAGGTGTGAAAATAGCAGGATCAAAGTTAAGTAGGAGAACTGTAAATTACAACACACTTAAAAAACAACTAAAAGCGCAGATGAACATTAAAATTACACTGCTGACCATTAACATTACTACAACAAGAAGAAAAGAAATTAGCAGAATTTAATGTATTTTACATATACAGTGTAATGTTAATGGGGGAAAGACATGATGGCATTTTCAGGTGATTTGGGGTTCACAGCCCGCAGAATTCGTTACACAGAACTGCCATTTCCGGAAGCAGCAATGGCTCTAATCCACTTAGGTATCGAGTTAAACTGAGCCTGAATGACAGATATGGGTACTTCTTTCCGTCCATCATGATTCTGTACACAGAAGCGAGATTCATCTGGAAAGAAGCCACTCCTGTGTGTTTGGTGCCACTCCTATGTTAAAAGTTGTCCTCTGTCGCATCACTTGGAGGAGTACTTGTATCTGCTGCAGCGTCTAGGAAAACTGCAACAATAGTTGCCGTACCGACAGTCCGCGTTGCTACAGACATCGTCGCACTCTTCTTGCGGGCACTTGTCTTAAAGCACATGAACCGAGTTCCTGACTCAGGGTACGCGATGCTGCTGTACGATCCCGCAAGACCGAAAGGTGTTTGTCGTGTCTCGCATAAGAGGTCAGGGGCCACAGAGATCTCGCAAAGGGTTAGGTATGCCCTCCTGGACCCATCGATTCATACCCTCCTGAGAGTCGTGGGATCCCCATAAATACGGGCAGCTGTGTCTCAAACTGATAAACCACAGTCCGATATGCCACGATCCTGCTTCAGAATTCCGAAATTATGTTGGTAGAAATTTCTCTTTTCTACACGAGGCATAGCATAACATTTACACAAACAACCAGCCTTCAGATAAGATTACCAAATGAGAAACACGTAGTGCAATCTTCCCACTTATACACAATGCAGACGGCTTTACTCATGCCTACTTTGTGCGCATCCGCTGGAATATTAATCATTGCATATTTCAGCTATAATTATGAATATATCTTATACTTTCATGGAAATTTGACTTTTATTGCATGCCTCCTGCATGGTACAATTTTAATGGTCAGAATTGTAAAAGAAAAAGATCGATCACAGGTAATGCTGCAATCTGTTTCTAAAAGGCTGTATTGAATTATTCGATTGCTACAAAGAATGCTAATATTAGCCTAAACGTAGGGATGCCTTCGTGGAAGACGTTTGAAGGAAAACTGGCTCATATTCACGTTACACATGTAGAGAAACTCAAAAAGCCATGCAGCCAGCCCACATGCCAAGAACTTGGGAACATGGGTTGAATAATAATGTTCAGCGATCTTACCACTCTGCCTCTAGCGAGGCTATTTGTAAAAGGACAGTAGGCAAGCATAGCACTGTAGACTAAGCTACATATCTGCCATATGTTATTAAAATGCAAATTTAAAATATAAATATGGAAGTTTTCTGAAGAAATGATGTGGAAATTAAAAAAAAATACTGTTCTGCACTCAAAAGTTCGAAAAACTTCTTCATTTTGCTTTAAATTTCATTTTGCGGTTTGAGCTATTCGAACCGCATTTATTACCGGGAAATAGAGGCCTGGGATCTACTTATATCCTTGATTGATTATATTTTCGCTGATTTTACGTTACTACATGATTCTAAAGAAAAATTTCTTTTTATTAATCGAAATCCGATGCTGAAAGTATTATACCTAACTCTAACCAGTGGAAAGTATCAGTTGTTTCGCATCAGCTCAGTACAGCCGATTCCTGATTTGGTTTTATTGATGAAAAGATTGCTTAAACTGAATTATGATTTTATTTAGTAACAAAATGTATTGCTTGCTTTGGTAATTAATAGGTTCTTAAATATTTTGAGTCACATCATTGGTAATAAGGACATATTTCGGCAACAACTAGCAAGAACTTATATGAAAGCGTGAAGAAAAATAATTGTGTGAAATGATGTTATGCATTGTCTGGAAAATGTTTGCAATGTTTATTAAAGCACGTTTTGAAAATAAATAACACATTAAATAAAAGTTAGCTCACCTGATCCAATAAGTCAGAACTAACGGCATTGTAGCGATGCCAATTCCATAGCCCATGAGAAACATCATTTCAACTTGAAAGCGCCTTTTCTTAAAGTACTGGCCTATGATGATAGCAGCTGTTTCTCGAGCTAAGCAGTCACCTGATCCTATAAAAAGTCCGTAACTGAGGTAAAGCTGATGTAGTTGTGATGCAAATGATGTGAAAAGACATCCTAGTGAGGTAATGATACCACCCAAAACAGCAAGTAAACGAGTGCTCTTCCTCTTGCAGAGGGCGACTACAATGGGGGCCAGAAGAAATGATACCGCTGTTGACGCAGCACAAACAACAACTTTAAAAGAAAAGTTCATTACCAGAAGAAATATTTCATGAACATATCAAACTAATTTTTAAAAAACTTTTCTAATGCTAGTGACAATTAGAATCTCAGAGTTTGTGCTTCCATTAATATGCTAATATTAGATTAATGTTTCTTAAATTTCAGTGAACATTCCTGCTCTATCAATGGTCTTCTTTCTATCGTTAGACTTAAAAAATAGTCTTGATTTAAACGAAAATCCTGATTTTTAAAACTTTAGCTTTTCCGTGTTAGAAAATGTTTCTCACTGAATGAGGAGAAATAAAACCCGAATAATAAAAAATAATAAAATGGATTAAAGCTAGGAACTTCAATTTTAGAAATTCTATGAGCAGATTTGCTGATTTTAATAGTATTTACCATTGTTCTATTTCTTTTGATACATTTATAGCTGTTATTATAATCTAGATAATACCATATTTTGGGCATAATTTATTTAATAAACTCTTCTTTCAGTTTAGTAGAAAATTTAAATAACAAAAGCATATTATTATAGTGCATTCGAAGAATTTTTCACACTTAAAGGGTATTGAAAGAAGCTGGCTACTAATTTTATTTCTTTAAATATTGAGCATAGAATTACATACTACGAATTAAAAAGCTTCTTAAAATAGGATATAGATTTTATGAAACCAATTTCTGAACTTGTAGGAGAAAGAATTATGTAAATATAAGCTCTGACTTTTTAATAATCCCTGCAACGGAAACTAATACGGCAACGACAACTAATACGGCAACGAATTCAGTTATTAGACCATACTTCAGGGTCTACATAAAATCAGTCTCGCAGATTTTTTGCTCCTGATGAAGAGGGAGCTGTACCTATCTGCCCCAACTTCGACTGAATTCTTGACTAAATTTACCCTAATTTCGCCAAACAGAGAAATGGTCATTTAGCTCGCAGCTTGAACCAACGTAATTAAAGTATCCAACCACTATTTCGCAGGTATTTCTTTGCGGTTACAGTAGACAGCTTCAAGTTAGCTGCCTGTGTAAATTAGATTGTGTTTAGCTGTTATCCTAAATATCGGTCTGTTGTCGAGTCATAGAGAGAAAGTGCGTTCTTCCAATGAATCTGGAATACAATCCAGTCAGAAGAAAATTCTGCCCAAAGAACGGAGACAAAGTTTTACGCGATTTTAAGCGCCGCTGCAGCATTGGTGGTTATGAAAGCTGCTTACTAATCTTTTATAATTCTTCCGTGTGTAAAATTATCGAAATGATATTTTTAAGACATTACGAAAATTTAACATTTAAAATTTATGATAAACGCAATTCACGACAGCGCTAATTTCTTTTTCACCTACTTTCGAATTACCAATTGTCTCTTAAATGCAAGCATCGGAAATTTGCGTATTCAGTAACTTTCTCCTGTTCGTGTTTAAATCGTGCTAATCTCAACAAGTTGGTTCTTCGTATTTTGGGCCAATAACTTTGCATATCGATATTCATCCTCAAGTTTGAATATGTGCGTGCTTGTATATATTCATATATAGGGTGATTTGCTACTGCCTGTAAAATTTCTGGGAGGGGTAGTTTAAAGATGAATCGGGATCAGATAACAATGGAGGGCTGGAAACGCCCCGTCATTTCAGTGGGTCCGGTATGTGAATAATGTACTGATAACGCAAGACAATGCATAAGAGAAGACGACTATTTTATTCTTCAAAATATAACAATCGAGATATTAAGATAAACTAAAGAATTGTTATAAATATTGGCCACCAGCTGCAACACAAAACTGATATCGGCGCTGCATGGAATGATGGACATTTTGGAATATCCTGAGCGTCTTTCGAACTGACGCAGTAACTGCGCAGGAGCGTGTTACAAGAGCCATTTCATTACCCACGGGTGTATATGTACACCAGACCTCTCATGTCACCTCATAAAAAAAACTCAAATAGGATAGGTCTGGCGATCAGGCCAGTGAATGGGATCACCACATTTGATCCACTGTTTCTATTATGCTGAAATTACGTAGCATCACACAGCGACTGCTGGATCTATTAGTCATTCAACAGTTCGGGCAAAGCTTGCTTCAAACTATCTTCTAACGTGGTCTGTCCAAACGAATAGGCTATAGATACGCTCCTATTAAGTGGTACTTTACAATGTTGGGCCAAACCCTGACAACAAGCCTTTGTTGGTCTGCACATTTTCGTGTAACATAAAGATTCATCATTGCCCATAAAAGCGAATTATGTGAATTGTACTAACCTCCTCTAGTGAAGTATATCTCGCCTGTGAATTAGAAGGAAGCCAAAAAAACCCTCTATGGGTAGCCATCAAGCTGCAGTAGATGTATGGGTTGCATATAGTTTTGGTGCAAATGATTCGAATGCATAATCCTCCAGATGGTGGTTTGGGAAGATTTGTAGCAAGTAGTAAATGCTGCGAATTGGCGCATAGAATGCCAACTGCATGAAGAAGCACCATGTCTCCCGGTACAGGGGCACAATGGTTCTTTGTTACAATTAACAGCTGCATATGGTAGATGCATACATGCTAATCTCGCATTTGTTGACACCTTGCATTCTACTACTACTTATACCTGTATTTCTGTGACGATGTCGAATGAGCTTTGCTGCGTGGACATTTTACCAGTTCCCCAGCAACTCTCTCTATCGCGTTCCTATTAAGTTTCCGTCCTTGCATTACTGTGTGATTCCTATTTCTGTGTGAATAACCCACCCCTCACAGAAATTTGTACACGTAGATAATCACTCTGGATGTGTAATTCTAACACGCACGTATTTAAAACTTAAGAATGAATATGAATATACAAATCAATGTGCAGTATATATCTATGAACTGTTTCTGAAAGATTGAACGATTAAGAATCTTTTTTAAGAATTTCATGAAATAATATAGGTCTTTAGATTACGACAATTTTACTCACATTATACCTTTTAATAAAAATATGGAACATAATTTATGAGGCTCAATAAAGAAAAAAAGAATAATTAAAAACCAATGTTTACCAATAGCCAATTGTTTAAAAATATTTGCTCCTCATTTCTAGCTGAAATATCATTGAAGAAAAAGTTTTGGGAATCGTATTCAAATGTAGGTAAAACCAGCTAGAAGAAATTTTGCCTGATTATCTGTTTTAATCGCCAACAGGGAGCGTCAATGTTTCGTGATGCATGTGTTTGCTTCTTAATCTGGCAACGCCAGTAAAGTGCGTAATGTAATTGAATAGACTTCAAAGACTGAAACTTGATATAGATGTTCTTTGCCTCTTAACTATGGACTGTTTTCGATTTAGAATAATATTTCTTGAATCCTAATCAAGATGATCTATTAAATAATACAACCACGTATCAGGGATGTTGGAAAATTATCCCTCAAAGTGAATGGGAAAAGACGACTTTTAGATAAACAAGCACGCCGATTTAGAATGTTTACTGCTGCTTATTTTTCGGCATGTAAGTTAATAAACAAAGATTAATTAATTAAAGCGTGCACCAGGTAAGCGATTAAATTTATTTGGTTGTTGTAACTATAGCAGAGGATATCGTTAAATTGAAAGCCACTAGAGAAAGCTATGAAAGAAGCTATTTTTAAAATAATAAATATTTTAGAACCTGAAATTAACATAGTCATATGGGATAATAATATATTCGACGAAAATTTGTTTTTTCTTACGTCTAAACAACCTGAGTAAAAACATTAAGTAAAAACATTTTGGGTTGTTTTAAAGTGGATGAAGCCGGAATAGAAAAGGAATGTAATGTTTGTTAAAGTATGATGAAAAAATAAGTTTATGTATTTTAGATATAAAACGAAAATTTGAATTTTCACATTAACATAAAACATAAAAGACCAATCCACTGGGCACCAAACTGCTGCAGTTAAGATCGAAAACACAACTAACATTCAGTTACCTAAATTTCGATTCCTCAGTAGTCTGATGATCTTAGTTTATTTTTGGAATTTTATAATTCTTTTGAAAAAGCTATTGGTAATAATGATGAATTAGCAAAGGTACAGAAGCTTACTTATCTTAAATACGTACTCATATAACCTGCTTTAAGTGCAATATTTGAGTTCTTACTTTCTGATAAGAAGATGAGAATTATGACTCTTCTATAAATTTAAGCAAAGAAAGATTTGAACAATTATATTTGGCTATTTGTTCTCACATGAACAAAATCTTGAATCCACCTATTAGAAATTGGTTCAGTGTGAAAGCATTAAGAGCACTTTACGATTCCTGTGAAATCAATATAAAAAAATTAAATCCTTTGGGTAGTGTAGAGGAATCTTAAGAAGCCATTTAGGACCGGCTATTTTAGAGCATTCACTAGGTGATATGAATTTGGAATCGAATAAGAAACGAATAAGCGTTCCTACTGCTTCGGCGTTAACCACAGTGACAAAGATGTACTGTTTTTACTGTAATCAAAATACATATGATATAGAAAAATGCGAGAAAGCAAATGAGCAAAAATGAATGATATTAAAGAGCTTTGATACAGATGTTTTAGTAAAGGACACGTATCGTGTAGATGTTAGAAGAAACTTTGTGAATTGTGTAATGGCTTAAATAAGTTATTTTATAAGATTGTTGTTCCTGAATCTGAATCACTTTCAGAGACTAAACAGAATGCAATTGCATCATCAGAATCTACGCAAAATATAGTCGCATCCTTATCATCAAATTATACGACTGTTTTTGAAACTGTTGATAACGGTTTCTGTTTGCACTTCAAGTATAGATAATAAATACTAAGTCAATTAGTAAAAATTCTTATTGATGGCGAGTCACCAAAGTCATTATTTAGATCAAATTTAGATAAATAATCAAAACTAGAGAGTTTAAGGAAAGAAATGTTATATATTTATTGCTTTGTGTATATTTAGGGTAGGATAATGAAATATTATGATGTTAAAATTTCCCTTAAAAGTGTACATTGCCCTAATGAGTTGATCACATTTGAACCTCTTGTTACAGACGCTATTTATGA